CCCAGAGCAATATCAACACTCAGGGCAATATCAACACCCAGGGCAATATCAACACTCATGGCAATATCAACATGCAGGGCAATATCAACACCCAGGGCAATATCAACACCCAGGGCAATATCAACACTCATGGCAATATCAACATGCAGGGCAATATCAACACTCAGGGCAATATCAACACTCAGGGCAATATCAACACTCAGGGCAATATCAATACTCAGGGCAATATCAACACCCAGAGCAATATCAACACTCAGGGCAATATCAACACCCAGAGCAATATCAACACTCAGGGCAATATCAACACCCAGGGCAATATCAACACTCATGGCAATATCAACATGCAGGGCAATATCAACACCCAGGGCAATATCAACACCCAGGGCAATATCAACACTCATGGCAATATCAACATGCAGGGCAATATCAACATGCAGGGCAATATCAACACTCAGGGCAATATCAACATGCAGGGCAATATCAACATGCAGGGCAATATCAACACTCAGGGCAATATCAACACTCAGGGCAATATTAACTATGTCAATACAGGGTTATATCAACACTCAGGGTAATAATAATAATACTCAGGATATATCAACAATCAGGGCAATATTGATACTCAGGGCATATCAACACTCAGGGCAATATCAACACCTATACATGGAGTGATATTGACCCTCACCTTGCATGGGTAATTATAGCAGCTTTTGGTAAACCTGTTGTTCCTGATGTATAAATATAAAACAATCGATCTGAAAAAAAAATTGTAAATACAATGTAATAATATATTTATAGATATTACATGTACATGTATATAAATTGTTATTCAGATGAAGTATGAAAAATATTATCATAAGAGTGATCTACTAGTTGATAGTAGTTTGTCAGATAAAGTAGTCAATGATGTCATAGCAGGCAATAGTCTATTTGATATATACCCCCGGTATACTCCTAGTGTATCACAGAAGGCGATAGTTTCAGATGTCATCAATCCATGTATTACCATAGTAACAAGATATACAACACTAAGTCTGTAAACTGGTCCATCCCTCATGATTTCTAGATTACCTGATACATATTCACTGTTGTCATGGCAACATATGTTTACTACACACCTGTAAAACATCTATTTGCTATGACTGGTGGCGGCAACGGTGAACACTTTTGTAGTATCGGGATCAAGATGAACAGCAGATATCGTGTCGTTTCTGTAATTCCCGATGCAGTGTAGTCGTACCGATTTTTTGAGTTTCTGTTTGATATCCTTAACGGCTGTACATGCAAGGAAACATACAAAAGACTAAAATCATTAATAGTTAGATGAACAAATTTGGTCAAATAAAAAATTAAATATAATTTTTTTCAGTTTCTGCTCATAATTTTTGAGAAAATTGGTCATAAATTGCATGACAATGCTCATAAGTTTACATGTATTTTGGAAAATCTTAGGTAGTGTCCCATGGCACTATGAAATAGCATTCTTTTGTGTGTTTGTTGACATATTTTGAGAAACTTGTCCTAATATTTTTCAAAAATAGATATTTTTAGAAAAATTCCATAGAGCATAATGTTAAACAAAAATTGCATTTTTGACACTTTTTAAAAACAATTTGTA